TTTTTTTAGCCCCCTAATTAACATTAGGTCGTCCATTTTGGTGAGATGTTTTAGATCTAAGCTTTAGAACAATTTTTTTTTTTTTTCTAATTTTTAGATAATTTTATTATCATTAGATTAACAATATTAAAAAATAATAAATTGATTTTGAATTCATAAAGGCTTAAATCTTGAAATTCATCAAATTGATGGTCTAGATTCATTAGTGGAGGGGACTCATTTTGATTATATATAGAGTGCAATTTTTTTTTTCCTTTTTTAAGATTGATTATTGAGTTGAAGAGACTATGTATGCAAAATTTTGAGTTACAAATACTACAAATATGGTTTTCTAAAAGTGTGGTTGCATTATAGTATGATACAACTGTTGCATAAAATCATTACCCAATATATTATATGTAATATATAATATATAATATATTAATATAAATATTATATAATATTTATAATATTATATTATATAATATAAATATAACGTATTTATATTATAGATAATAAATAGTGATCGACAAAAAAAGTTCAAAAAGATTAAGTTCCTACCTCTCTGGAACTTAATCTTTAAGTTTTTTAACAAATGGATGAGAACTCTTGTTGAAAAATTATTTTCTGAACTTTATCAAAATCTGGAAAAGTACTTTCAGAAAAACAAACACACCATTAGAAAGAGAGAGACTAAACTTCACAAGTGGCCATATAACTTATAGAAATTTGTTGCGACAAAAAATTCAAAATATAGAATAAAAAAGCTCCGCCACAAAAAAAAGAAGATAGGAAGCTTGTATTGAATCATCGAAACTTTCACTATTGCTTTATAATAGAAAACAAGATTGCAGTACAATAGAGGAATCTAATATGCAGGACCTCACTGCAATTATCTGTTTTTTCTTCTAACTCACTATCTTAACAACACACTTCATCTAACATACCAACCATTATGTTTTCACATACGCCCAACACACCCATTCTATCTATATAATACTCACACTAACGGCCCATCCACATGGGTTACGATGGGACATATGGCCTGTCACATGGTTGGCTATGGAATGACCACATCAACTTCAATTCACCGATGCCTGTCACATGGTTGGCTATGGAATGACCGCATCAACTTCAATTCACAGAGCACTGAGTCGGTTTAGGTAAACCGCCTATTAAGAAGAGAGAAGGAATGAAAATGAAAATTAGTTTTTTTAACAATAACAGCATGTGAGGTTTGTATAAGGTTGACTCTTTATTCAGTAGAATTAAGGCAGACCTATAAAATTTAATCAGATATGTCGTTTGAGCATCGAAAACCTTATGATTGCTTTACAATATCTTTTTATCCTAGTTATAAAATTTTAAAGTTTAAAAATAATATAGATCGATTTGATCAAAAAACACTTGAAAATCTTGAAAATAGACGGTTCAGATAATTTGTTATAATATGCACTATTTTTTGAACTTAAAATTTTTTTTTTTCTTCATATTCATCTCAAAACCGAGATGATCAATTGGATGGTTCTCCGATGCCGAAACGCTCTCTAGTGTAGGATTTTTGAAGTGCATTTTACTTCATCTGTACAAGGTTGTAACTTTATATAAATTTTTTCTTATAAGAAGAGAGAGAGAGGGGAAAAAGTGAAGAGACAAAGTAAGAACCGGTCAAGGACTCTTTGTCCGCCCAAGGTTTAAAAAATCAGTGACCCAATCCGAAATTTGGCGATCCAGAATTAAGCCAAAAAAGGGGATTCGGTGGTTCTAAATAGTAGAATCACCGATTTTTTTGCAGAACCGCCGATTCTTCACCGAGTCGGACAAATTCTTCACTAGTTCATCATTGAGTCAAGCGAAAAAAAAGGATGAACAATTTGTTCTTGAATTATTATTATTTTTAAAATTGAAACGAAGTTATTAATTCTGCCGATCCTTTCAATCCGATCCACCGATTCCACCGAGTCACTTATATGTATTTTTAAACCTTGGTCCTCTCTCTCCCTACCGAATACAGATGGCCTTCCTGCTATTTCCAATAAAAACTGGGGTCAGTTTAGTCATTTCACTCTCTATCTCTCACTATCGAAGCTATGTTTATTAAATATCTTTCTCTCTCCTCTCTCATTGATCCAGAGCGCTATAAACACAGGTCCGTGTACGAAACATCAATCAAATATTCCTCAAGCTTTCATAGTTGTGCGGATCAGAAAGTGTCCCAAATTCCAGGTACCCCCCTCTCTCTCTCTAAAATTTAAAATCCGAGGTGCATTTTCTTCTATCATTAACGACTCTGACGGTATTGGGTCCTGTATTTTTGTTCTTCTTCTTCTTCGTTTTTATGTTTTTACTAGAGATTTTGTATTTCTCTCAATTTCAGAGACTTTGAGCTTCAGCAGAGCCGAGATTTTGCTTCGAATTTCAAATTTCGGAATGCTTTCCTTTTATTTTCGTTGGGCTTTTTCATGCCATGGGGGACAGAGTCGGCCAAAGTTACTCGGACGTTGCCGAGTCGAATTCTTTGATACAAATTTGGTGACGTAAAAAATTAGAAAAAGTAATAAATATTATGCTTTTTACGAAATTATACATAAATATTTAGAGATCATCTTAATATTTGTATGATATTTTGTGAGTTTTTCTATCATTTACTGTATTTTTCTCTTTTACCTTTTTGATAAATTTGTGAATTGTTTGAGTGTAAATCACATTTTCCAAATTCCATCTTTACATATTTTTTCCATCATTGTAGGACTTTAATGTTCTTCTTATATTTGATTACTTAGTGTTCTTATTATATTTGATTACTTAATGTTCTATTATATTTGATTACTTTTATTTTTTCGACAAATTTTTTTATCTTTTTTATTTTTGAACTTCAAATATTATTCGAGCAAGTCCAAGTTACTCGGCTCGGGCAAAGCCGGTGTGCCGAGCCCAAACACACTAATTGATGCTCTTGTTTGCCCCGAGCACGGCGGACCCGTATACCGGGCCCTAGAATTGAGCCTTGTCCTCACTATAAACATACATTTTGGTTTTTTGTGTGAGAAAACTGTGTGTATTTGAGGCTGTATAAAATTTGTGAAAGCCCTAATTTCTCAAATAAAAGAAAAAGATAATTCAATTTTATTAACTTTCGGACAGCGGATAGTACAGGACAATATTTCGGCTGATTGTCGGGCGTCCTTGCCAGTACGGATTGCTGAGCCGAAACGCCCCTGAAATTTTCGCTTTCGGTGACATTTTAATCTTAACGTACTACAAACGAAATCCGAAGCGAAATTTCGGGCGCTGATTCTTGCAAGGGTTACTTCGAAACTTCGTTTACGTGGTAAACTTCAAGTTATCGGAGCTCTGACAAATGGCTTTATATTTTGGAATTCATGTGGGCTGGACCGCATTTATATATATGCGGTCTAGAAAGTGTAAAGCGTCCATCTTAAAGATGTGCAAGTAGGTGATCCATCTAAAAACAATGGAAACTAACGGTTCAAATATTTTTTTACTAGAATTATTATTTTTAATTTTTAAAATTTACTTATTTTTTCATATTCATGATCTCTATGTTTGAGATTACATGTCCTTAAAAATTAAGTCTTAAAATCCATCTAAAAAACAGATCTATCGAGAGGCCCGCATTTCTACATATGCGGGCTTGGCCGTATAGAAACCAGGTCCTTTTATTTTATTTTGTTTTCTCAAGCTTGAGGTTCTTATATTTTTCTTTTTTTCTTTTTTTTTTTATTATAAAAAATAATAAGGATAAGGCCGGAAAAGTTGAAGATCATGAATATGATAAAAAAAAGAACTTAAAATCTAAAAGCTATAATTATTTTAAAAATTAAATTTTTTTTTTCCTTTTGGCGTTCATAATAGTTGTAGCTGAGATTCTTTGCTTATTGAATTTAAATTTTGAATTTAATATCCATCTTTAAGATAGATTTCTAAAGGAGACTGCTCTTGAGAATGTATTTTTGTTTGAACGATAAGAGACCGTCAGTAATTTTAGCATCGGTAAAAATGAATATGAAAACCCATAGTTGAGGGAGAAGTGGTGCTACCATCCGGATACACTCAAATATATTCTCCGAATGTGGCTTTTAAAAGAGACTGCACACCAAAAACCCATCAGTGGCTTTATTAGTTCATCTTGGCGAATCAACCATGTAAAATTGATCGACTCTCCCATTTCGAACCCCGTTTTATATATTTTCTCACATGTTGTACATCTCCTAACCCCCCCCCCTCCTTCTACAAGGAGTCAAAACCGTTTCTAGGTGATTAAAAAAAATAACTTTTTACATCTATATCAGAGAGATGAAAAAGTTGGGTGTTCCTTCCAAATAGATGGAAAAAGTTTCTGTAAGGTGTAGAAGTAAAGCACATCTCAAAAGGTTATTAGTGACTTAACCTTTTAATGGATTAGAATGAAAAAAAATTTAAATTTTAAAAATATTATGTCCTGTAACACATTATCTAGATTGTCTATTTTCAAGATTTGGAGTCTTTACAGCTTTGCTGTATTTACGCCATTTTTTTTGGGAGCTCTCACTTTCATAATAAACATGAAAAATATATTTTTAGGCATCATTAGAATTTGTTAGGATATGGTTTGTATAGAGTTGAGTCTCTAAACAATCAAATTCAAACCCACCTTCAAATAGTGTTGAGAAATATAGTTTTAATATTCCAAAGTTTTGTGATAGCTTTAAATTATATTTTTATTTTTAGTTCTAGTTTTTAAAGCTTCAAAAAATAGTATAAATCGAGTAATGAAAACTTGAAAATCTTGAAAATTGATGGTCTAAAAATGTATCACGATGCATTATTCTCAAAATTTGAAATCCAATTCTTTTTCTCATGTCCATACATCTTGATGTTGAGGTATCTTGAGGTCGAGGTGATCAATTTGAAGATATTTGAGCCTCAAAACAACATCTTTTGGTGAAGGTTTTGAGGTAGGCTCTAATTCCATCGTTTAGAGCCTAGGCTCTATATAAACCTTTCCCCGGAAAACGCTTGGAGACCTTGCGAAAGCCACCGAAAAACGCATTGATAAGATCTCCACTTTCCAATTACAGCCCC